CTTATTTATTTCTGTGCAATTCGCGGCAACAACGTGAACTACTAGATCTTCGCGTTTTGGGACATAATCTAATAATTTAGATTATGTCCCAAAACGCGAAGATCTAGTAGTTCACGTTGTTGCCGCGAATTGCACAGAAATAAATAAGTTAATAGGGTGGGGAGTTTTGCTGCATTTATTGTAAAAGTATCATCACTGACGATTGTAATGGTAGGGCCAGAATTAAAATCTAAATGCTGTACGTTGCCCGATTGCATATCGCAGCAGAAAAAATGTTCGTTTGAGTTTCACGATTCGTTGTACGAGAACTATGTACGCAGCTCGTCGTTCGTGAAACCAGATATCGTCGTAGGTTTTTACGAGTATATTAATCCGTATAAACTTAAATCCACGTGGACGCCGTCCATACGGCTGATAGCGGAACAAAATTATCCGCTCGTTTTAACGTGCAGTGATCCACTGGATTTAATTCGCCAGGCTGAAATAATTAATACTATCCTCAATAGGGAGACATATTGTTTGTTCAGCGGAAAGAATCCATTTACTTGTTTAAAACCGAGTAGAGTTGCCAGGACACAGAAAGTGGTGTATACGAATAACTATGTAATTGTCTACCCGAATCTTACCAGCCCGTAAGTAAATGTAATTCAAGCGATTAACAAACTGTCGGCTGTGTTGCCGATAAACACGTAGCACGCCGGATACGAAGGACATAAGTGAAATCGATTTTAACGTTTAACACACACAACGGAAAACATGTAGAATGTTTATATGAATAGTCAACGAAAATCGCGGCGTTAATTCTGCACGAAACAAAGAGATTTAGACCAGACGTTTCACAGGGAGCTTGTATATTCATAATCTCAAAATTTTAGAAATCTTTTTTACACATTGCATTGTTGTATATTAGTTGTTTGTAATGGATTATAGATATAACAACTGACACGAGGCGAGGGTAATTTAGTCATAAGTACAATTATGTGAAAAAGACGGAATTTTGCATCAATTGTTTGTAATAAAGTTTTGTATCTTCATAATAAATATTGGGCATGTACGAATTTAAGTGAGAATTATTTCTCTTCACCGATAGCTCTAAAAATTCTCGTCACACGCATGACAGCTGTATGGAACTATGTATGACCAAAAAATGGCAGTGCCTGAGTATCCCAGGCAGTCCTGTATCCTGACGTTCATGTAAGTATCGTGTATTATTAACAGACTATTACACATTGCACACTATTTTCCAGAAATTTCTTGTCATTTTTACAACGAAATTGTTAAGTACTTCCTTTTCGAAACTTTGTGCTACATAACTAGTCTTTAGGGATTGCAGTCAAAGACACTCTAGATAATATTTCAGTTACTGCAGTGGTATTATGAAGTCAAAAATATTATTTTTAGAAATGTCTTGGCTCGGACGTGACAGTATTGAATTTCCTAGATACTAAATATCAGCTTCCGTTTCCTGACTTTTTTGTGTCTGACTTTACAGTACTACATGGTAGGACACAGTTTATAAAGACACAACGTTACAGAGCTTTTTACAAAATATATGCCTCTTATTTTAAAATAATGTATTCATCATTCTAGTATCTCTGTTATATAAAAAGGAATATAATATACATCAAAGAGAGTATTTTTGCACTCGATTATTGAACTATTTGTATTTATTGCACAAGAGTCATACCCAGTGGAAAATGATTCGTTGATCGATGTCGAAACGACGTCAATTTGACGTTGTCGATGTCGAATCGATATCGTTTCAACATCGATCGATGAATCATGTCTCACTGAGTATGATCTTAAAAAACGAATAAATTTGAAACAATATGTTTCAACATATTGTCGTAGGCTATTTCATATGATTGTAACATTAAGAATATTTACATTTTATATATTGTGTATGTGACGAAAAGCCACAAACTTTCGGTATCCAGCAATCTAGAAAAAAATTGAACAAGGGATCAATCCTGTATCTTGCTATACAGTGAAAAGGCTAAGACCGGTATTCATAGTCGGACCTTACGTTCAAGATTGTCTTGAATTTGTCTAAAGATGCTGTATGCCATTTCGTTGGCTACGGAGCATCCAAAGATGATCTTAAGACGGTCTTGAATATAAGATCTGACTACGGATACCGGCCTATAAGTGAGCGGTTTTGTCTCTTTCTAAGGAGGTAGAAAGGGGCAAAGCTACTCACTTTTCACATTTTCACTATAATGTAAGATACAGAATTGACTCCCCAATTCCGAACATTTCCATGACTCTAGAAATCTAGAAAAAAATTGAACAAGGGACCAACCCTGTATCTTGCTATACAGTGAAAAGGCTAAGACCGGTATTCATAGTCGGACCTTACGTTCAAGATTGTCTTGAATTTGTCTAAAGATGCTGTATGCCATTTCGTTGGCTACGGAGCATCCAAAGATGATCTTAAGACGGTCTTGAATATAAGATCCGACTACGGATATCGGCCTATAAGTAAGCGGTTTTGTCTCTTTCTAAAAGCTACTCACTTTTCATATTTTCACTATAATGTAAGATACAGAATTGACCTCCCAATTCCGAACATTTCCATAACAGGCACTCTGGGTCGTACGGTATAACGGGTAACGGTACGCAGAGATTGAGGGGTGTCGCGGAGGATTCAGCGCTGAGAATTCGAAACGGGCAGCTAGAAAGAAAAATCAAAACGGGTCTCTCAAATGAATGATTTATTAAATCAATATCAATTTCCGCGCAGCAGTAAATACCCGAGGAAAGAGATCTCAGGAAGCCGCTCGCGTGGCTCGCTCAATCTTGGAAAATAGTCTCCTGATATCTTCTAGAGCCCAGATATTTAATGCCGCATCCTCTTACATGATTAATGAACATTTTATTCTCGCGATACTCTCCCTCGTATCGCCCGTTCCCGCATGCATATCGCGCAGGGGCGCGATTTCTCTAGGCTGATTTAGATAATCTTCCTCCTTTCGTTTTCTTCTCTTTTTTTTTATATCAACAGCCGAAAGAGATATATACTCCACTTACAAGTGGAGAAAACGCAGTTCGGAACGAAATACAAAAGATATTTCTCTCCGCAGTGAATGTACAATCGTATTAAACTATGAGCAAGAATCATAGAGGCGTAATTTATAATCAACCTTTATTTAGGAATATACTCTTTTCAAAACCAACTTCTAATCGATCTTCAATAAAAGTACGTGTGTGTATGTGTGTGTATGCATTATGAATATATAAGCTGTGTTATATAAAACTTCCACAATATAATCGTAGTATAACTAGTAGGTTCACTCTTCGCCGGACCCCTTTGGTCTTTGCGGTACCGATCACGGTATTCCGCCATACACCACGGGATCCAGCGACGTGCGTGTGTACGTACTCGTCAAAGCCACACTACCACACATACAACTTTTCTCTCATTTGTCTGCGCAGAACAATGTCGGAAGGAATCGACGCAAAACGAAACAAATGACGGAGTAGACCTACTAGTTATACTATGATATAATGACGCGATTTTAGTCTGCGACACGCGACGCAGCTATGTAAAGAGACGGGAGTTTCTTCATTCCATTATTCTTTTTTTTTTTTTAACAAGTTAGGATACGGGTTATAACTCAAAAGGACGCGTAAATGTTCTATCCCCAAATGTTAATGTACGCAAAATCAATAAGTTAGAATCGCGCGTGCGTCGCGCGAGATACCCTCGATGTTTTTATCCAAGCTAAAATCGTTACTGACATCAACATGAAAAATTGAAAGTCCGACGAAAGGCGCGCGGATAAGAATCCGATAAAACTCAACAGCGAGTCGTGGAACCTTCAACTGTTCTGTAGTAACTGCGCGCGAATACGATCCCCCATCACGCGGTCATTGGAAAGTGTCTGTTTTTTTTTTAAGCATTTCCGCCGATAATGTTATATAATGCTACCTTTCACTTCTATTTTCTTTTTCTCTTGTTAGGTGTGAAACGTTATCATGGATTGTAGATTAAACCGTTGTACAGTTTGGTTACAATTCAGTATGCAGAAAATACAAATATAAAGTTTCTGTATAAATTTCTGCAAATTAATGATTCTTCTGCGTGTATTTAGGCGACTAGAATGTATGAGTGTCTGAAAAGTCGCTACATAAAATCGTTAAACTCGTCATATACATAATCACCGTATTCGCTCAACAAGGTGTTGTCACCCTCGATTTTGAGCTTGGCCTTCCCCTTGCCCTTGTTCTTCTTCGCCTTGTCGCCCTTCTCCATCTTCTGCTTTTCGATGAGTAGGTTGTCGACTATAGTTTTCACCTTCTTCAAGTAATGTGACGATACTGGAGCAGAGAAACGTTTTTAAATGTACAAGATCCTTGTCGACGCGACGTTAACCGTTGGTTAAAATATCGACCGCCGACAGATATACTAACGATTAAGAGCAATGGACTTTATAAGTTCCTCTGCGAACGGTGGGTACTCGGCGTGTTTGTTAAATTGATTAATTTTTTGCGAGAGCGCTGCACCAAATTGCTCAAATTCCTCTTTCGTGTCGGGTACCGCAGCGTCGAGGGACTCCTTCGGCGATTCCTCTGTCTCACCTGCAACATGAAATTGTCATCGTGTAACAACACACATACCTATAACGGATCAATAACAAAACTTTCCGATGTTACAACTAAAGTAATAATGTTTTATGACATCGAGTCAGCTTAATGCGCGTTAGAATTATTAAACATACTTGGGCAAAATCTCAATCACCGATAAGCTGTAAAACAAATAAAGTTCACGAAACTGTGGAGGGAGATGCTTTGCTGTTTGGCAACTGTAATAATACTATATTGAACTGTAAAGAATTGACACAACGAATATAAAGTTTTGTACAATTGACAGATTTTGGCGCATTCTATTGTACGTCACAATATATGCATCAAAAGAGCCAGTCAGGAACGGTACAGGAGACAGATAACAGATGAGAGATAAGGTTACAAAGACTGATGCAAACACAACAAATCGCATAGAATAGCAACTTTTATTAAAATACAACAACATCGGTAATAAATTTAAATGTAGAGCTTGTAATAAGTTTATATATATATAAATGCTTGTATATATATATATATATATTTATTCTCTGTCTGTCTGTCTGCCCCTGTTTGATGCAGTTCCTATCATAAACCGATTGTAAGTCCAGCGTGGCAATGATAATTACAATTACGTAAAGCCATTATGCCACAATCTTAAATTAATGTTAATAAAAATATTACGAAAGACAGTATGTACATGTTCCATGCGTGTGTATACGTGTGTATGTGTTGCACTAAGCGCTTCAAGATATTTCTTCCTGCATTAATACTGTACGATTTAATTTAATGTACTTATGTAACAATTCGACTTCGTGTTGCGTGCCATCCCAATAGTTAGTTTTAACATTAATAGCGTTTCTTTCTTCTCAATTCGTCAAACTTACGTAAAAATAATAGTTATTATCATTGTCACAAAGCAAAAAATGCTTGTATGTCGTCCCATGCAGATACTTAGAATAATCCTTCAGCAGAGCTAGGTAGTATTACAACGACAATGTGCGCCTACGATATATAAAGTAATGAAAAGATAAGACTGTCAGCTTTGTCAAAAGGTACTTCTTTATCGAATCAAGCGTCCGACGCCTAGCGTAACTCCGAGATGAAGGGGGATCTATCTGAGGTGTCAGAATAAAACTCGCTACATTAGTAGGTAAAAAGCTATCGATTCACTGTATAAAAGTCAGATCGTTAAAGAAAGAAAGAAAAAAAAAGTCATTTCTTCTCCTTTTTGTGTGATTTACGATCACTAAAGTCTACTAGAGTCGACAAACCAAAAGTTTCCATCGCCAGCCGCAAGTCCGCCTCCTCTTGCAACCTCTGGCGCCTCAGCAATTCGGTCCGCCTCTCTTCCGGCGTGAGCGCCTCCTCCTTTTCCTTCGCCTTCATCTCGGCTTCCTCCCTCGCCTTCTTCTGCAGTTTCGCACACGCAAATGTACATGAGTAAAATTGTGCAGGTGCCGTCGCACCTTAAAGCAATCGCAACCAACCTCACGCTCCTCGATTCTCTCGGCTAGTGCCTTTTTGGGTTTCGGCTTTGCCTTCGGGGCCTCCGCGAGAGGGCCTGGTTTCTCCACGTCCCTCTTCTCCTCTTCCACATCTTCCCAGCTGTCCTGTTAGGCCAAATTATTTAACGTGAATAAATTAATGAAGCAAGATTTAATCGTCGTTAAATGTGAAGTCAAAGTGCGCTACTAGTATCACTAAATAAAATTTAGTATATGTTTAAACCGACGGGTAAACCACCAAAATCGTGTACTAATGCCCAGTGGACATTACTTTATCTTATTTTATCTTTATAACGTCCCAGCAAGGGCCCTAACACCCAAACAACACCCAGCAATGCCGCAAATCTGACACCACAGTGTCCTCAGCGGTTTACCCCTCGATTTACGTACAAATCTTTTAAAGCAATAGTTTTAGTACGCAAGAATTTAGTACAAACGCAGGATAAATATCGAATTTAGTGCGAAGCAAGAATTTTAGTATAAATGCATCTGACAAAACGACTCGAGTAAATTAACAATTAGCAGAATGCAAGAGCTATATAAACTATTTGATTATCTGCGCACGAATAAGCTTTGTACAAAACACTTAACGGTAGAAAATATTGGAGCACGCGCCGACAGAAAGAAAAGAATTACTCGACGTACACAATCAATTCTGTACGGTACAAAAAAAATATATATGGAGCAATACAACTTTCACTCGGATACATGAAGCGAGTGAACAAAAAGCCCACGAGCGGTTCCTTCTCGGTTCTCAGTCTCCCTTGTCCCCCCCTCACGTTCATCGTTAACATACGTCCCGCTCGTCCATCTGCCGCGACCGCGGCGATCGCAGAGCGGATCGCGCGTCGTTCTCGACGACGCGAACGAGAGCGCGGGTGGTCCGCGGGCGAGAAGCCCGACGGTCCGACGGGCCAGGAGGCGCGGTGTGGGGTAACATGTGTTCGCCGTATAGGTTAGGTGAGGCGGAGCCGCGTGCGGGTGCGGGCCGCGCGTCGCGGAAAGTCGCATTACCTTGACCTCCTCCTCTTCGTCCTCGCCCTCCCACTTGTTCGATCTCATCGCGAGGTCGAATTTCGCCTCGACGTTGTCCACATCTGCAAGAGGCGCAGCAATGGCATGGAGGTTAAAAAGTCAGGTCGTGGCCCACGGGCGACAGGGGATTCGGCCCCGTTCCCGGGGGGGGTTGCCCCGTTTCGCGGACGCGGCGCGCTTACGTACCCCATTCCTCGTCCATGGCTGCCGGTGATTATTCGCCGTGCGTCGTGCCTGCGGGTGAACGGAGAGTCTGCCGCACAAACGTGGTAACAACGAGCACAACCGGAATCGAGCGGGCCATACTGCACGAAGGAAGCAGCGTGCCAGCGTGATCCGATCACTCGAGTTCGCGGGACCGGCTGCGCATGCGCGGCGACCGATCGAGGGATCCACACTCCACAGACAGGCATACCATATTTTTCTCTCTCTTT